TGGCACCAACTGAACACCAGATGCTTACTGTGAGTATAAGGACAAATTTGATATTGTTAAGAAAAGGACCCACTGTAGAACATTTATTTCATTACTCATGTTGTGTCATGGGAGCAAAATCATGAAAAGCCATTAAGGGAGTGAGACAACTGGTTAATCTCTTGTAAAGTGGGTGCTTTACATAAACATTAGAGATGAGAGGTTGTACATCACTTGGAAACAAGGTAATTCTCTGATGTGCACACGCGTGCACACTGACAAAACAAATATTAGTATGCGTCGCTCTTGACTACATCACAAGTCACTCTCAAAATCCCAGTGATAACACTTGTGGGTAGTTTCAATAGGTCAATCGATTTGCAAATGGCTCCCTCTTCACCATATTTAATAAGCTTCAGTGAGACTAAAGAATCCTGAAGCAGCAAAGAAGGAATGTGGCCATTAAAATGACGAGCAGCTGCTCAGAGCGCCTGTGCTGTGTCCCACAGGGCTGCCTTCACCTTGGTGCTGTGAGAATGATGTCAGTGCTCTGTCACAGACACAGCATCACAACATGATCAGAATATTGATGAAGAGCGAAGAGTGATGTTGATATAATGATGCCAAATGCATGACAATGCTACTATTACTGCCACTACAATTAATACTGCTACTACAACTACTCCTAAAATAGTAGTAGTCAATAAAAGTAGGAACCGACAATTTGAGATCCTGGTACATCCCAAGTCTCTTATATGATCATTCCTTGCTCCATGATATTTTTCCAGGTAGAGGATCAAGGACATCCCAAGATTCTGAAGAAGGAGCCATAAATGAAGATACAGTAGATGAGAGCATCCTTTACCGAAGTCTTTTATGGACCGATGCCCCTTTATTGGAAACCAGTTGGTGATTGGATGCTTCAGGTGAAAGATTGGAGGACAGAAGGTCATATGTCTCTAAAATGTGTTGATTCCTATCTCCTTGCATCTTAGGCAGGCAGGATTAAGACACAAGGAAACGACAGGTGAATCCCAGTTCCACTAACTACATCCACATTTCCCTCAATTGCATCTTACTCCCGCCCACGCAACATGCAAGAAAAAATGTGAGGAAAACCTGAGGGGAGAGAGGAACTAGGAAATGCATTTTAACTGACATGAGACATCCTTTCCTCTGATTCTTAATGTGAAGCGTCCAATCACAAATCAATTTACAACAAAGAGGCGTGTCAATCTGTAACAGACTTCCACAAAGGATGCGCTCGTGTATCCTCGGTTATAGCTCCTCCTGCAGAGTCCTTGCTCCTAGGAGCAAAAATAAATGCTCTGGGATGTCCATCATGGTGGATCAGAACAACTTTGGGTCAACAGGAAGGAAAACGCTGGTAATGATCCCTCACTGCCCAGTGCTGAGACAGGAAGCAGTTCTTAAAACAGTGTGTGGATATACAACGGACCGTTTGTGTAATAACTGCACCTTTTTTTTTTTCTTTTTGAAATACAACTGATCAATCTGGCAATATCTTTAGGATCGGTAGGATAAGCACAATCTTATAAATTATAAAAATAATGGCCACAACTACTAAAATAAGTCAAAGTAAACCAAAATTATCCTTTAAAATGATGCTCATTTTGCTGTACATGCAGGGATCACAATCTCTGCAACTTTTCTGTGAGGCAGATAAAAGCACCTAATGGTTCTCAGTCAGAAAAGGGTGGCTTGTTCCCTTCAGGTTGGTGGGGAGTTCCTGCCTCAAGTGGAGGAGTTCAAGTATCTTGGGGTCTTGTTCACGAGTGAGGGAAGGATGGAACGGGAGATTGACAGGCAGATCGGTGCAGCTTCTGCAGTAATGCGGTCGATGTACCGGTCCGTCGTGGTGAAGAAGGAGCTGAGCTGTAAGGCGAAGCTCTCGATTTACTGGTCAATCTACGTTCCGACTCTCACCTATGGTCATGAACTTTGGGTCATGACCGAAAGGGCAAGATCCCGGATACAAGCGGCTGAAATGAGCTTCCTCTGCAGGGTGGCCGGGCGCACCCTTAGAGATAGGGTGAGGAGCTCGGTCACCCGGGAGGAGCTCAGAGTAGAACCGCTGCTCCACCACATCGAGAAGAGCCAGCTGAGGTGGCTCGGGCATCTGTTTCGGATGCCTCCTGGGCGCCTTCCTAGGGAGGTGTTCCGGGCATGTCCCACCGGGAGGAGGCCCCGGGGAAGACCCAGGACACGCTGGAGGGACTATGTCTCTCGGCTGGCCTGGGAACGCCGCGGCATTCCCCCGGAGGAGCTGGAGGAAGTGTCTGGAGAGAGGGAAGTCTGGGCATCTTTGCTTAGACTGCTGCCCCCGCGACCCGGTCCCGGATAAGCGGAGGAAAATGGATGGATGGATGGTGCATAAGTACAGTATATATTTAAACTAATACTGGTGGGCACAACATATAATAGTCATTTTTAACTTTTAACCAAAGTCATGATCATTACAGATTCTCAGGGTTGTTATTCAGTCTGTCTCCAAGGAATTGATCAATATGTGGAGACAGCCAGGGGTAGGGAAAACATAAAACTGGGCTAAGTAGGTTTAAAGAAAATTCAATTTCAGCCTCCAGCCAGGGAAGCCATTATTGCACATTTTATAGAGAGCCCTGCAAGCATGCAGGTAGGTCGAGCACCGGGTCTATTAGAAATGACACACTAACAAAGATAAAATAATCAGCTGATGGATCACTCCTTCTTTCTTCTTTTCTTTCTTCCTTGTCAGCTGTATATAATGACAGACTAAAAATACCTCAGGATCAAGGATGGTATTGTCAACAGCACAAAAAGCAGGAGATGAAAGAGCCGACTGCCTTTTAATGACTAGTCTTATTTCATGGTGACCGCTGCTGTATGTATGAATAATTACACAGCTTCTCTACAGTGCTTCTCCTTCCTCAGTGCATGTTGATAGAACACTCTTAATTTAAGGGAATACATGGTAAGAAGTAAAAAAAATTCTCCAAACATAAAGATCTTATGTAATTTAGCCTCTGTTTGTCAGAAATGTCTCTAATCACTGTTTGAGAACACTGAACAGATGTTAGCTTCCAGATGTGTGCAGCACTACTGCCGTTGTTCGATGTTCACCAAGGCTCATTCATGTGTGATTGATTTGTTTACAACTTTCATGGGTCATAGCTAGCAACAGCTACAAATCAGCCACATGAGAAGTCTCATCCTTAAGTGCACATGGGGACCTGTAGTTAAAACAAACAATGAAATCAGGCCAACAATCACGCAGCTCATCATCTGAGATACCTGAGATCCAGAGGGATAACATCTTTCTGTCCCTAATACAATAAATATGGGCTTTCAACTTTCCAATTATAACCAATCACAGAGGCGTAAGACTGCAATTTGAGGTTTCAAGACAAGATTTAACAGATGTGCCATTTCAAGGAGTGATCCTAGATACTGTGATTGGAGGAGACAGCTTCGCTGGGCACAAGAGAGGGCAAAATCCACCTCATTAATCCTTCAGCTTCACAGATTGCTCACATGTTGGAGCTGTGATCATTCTCTTCACTGCCATGCTGAGACATGTTAGGCTGCATCAAGTCACTGTCTAACCTTGATACAAAATCAAGTATATAATTTTCTCCCACTGGCTCACTTTAGTGCTGTCATTGTTTAATACCGTCATAACCCCACTATTTAAAAAATGCATTTGACATTGGTGGCGATGAATTGTCACAATAGTGGCAAGCACACAGAGAAAAATGAGGGTTATGTTTACAGGTAATTGAGTAGCTATTGAAGCTTATAGAATAAGTCATTCTGGGGAATGTCAGAAAGCAAGGGCACACTCCCATAATACACAAACACACAGCTTTGTAATGACTGAAGAGGGACAAATGGTATAAAAAAAGACAATAAAAGAAGGAAACAAGCCTGGACATTTTAGCAAACATTACATTTGCTGGTTGAATTGTGGTTTGATACACATTCATATCGATTTTTTTTCATTTGCCCTAAAGCTCAAATCAGAAATATATCATTACTAAAATATCATTCCTAAAATAATGAGTACAATAGTTTACAGCAGTTTAATGAAGCATTATTGGGTTTTATAACCAAATCTGGGGTGTACTTGAACTGAAATCTAGATATACTGTGTGTACCAATGTCTTCTCCCTCTCACTCTGCTCTTTTTGATTCTGATTGGTTAATAACAACTCTCATTGGTAACTCAAGTCATGCCCTCTGCATATAGTAAAAACAGATGTTAAAGGTTAATTAATTGCAGTAAGATGTGTTAAGCAAAATTTAACAACTGGGGGATATTTACTACACCTGTAGCAAATCACTGTCAGGAGCAGAAAGTATCATAGCACCACAATTTTTCAATTTAGCAGCATATTTACCAAGACTAATAATGTAAATGAGCACATCTGTGTTCATTTTAATTCAGTTCAGCTAGTAAGGACGTGCCTGTACTGTGCACAGGTGGACTGAGAGAGACAGTAGAAAAGTGTATTTACTGTGACTTAACTTTTGGAGCTGCAGCCACTTGGTCTCCTGCCAGTCACATCACATTTTATTTTGTTCAGTAATTGAAGCATGGTTTGATCTGAAAGCCTGTAAAAGCTCCTCTCATTCTGGTGAGCAATGTGACCTACAAACACCCTCTCCCTCCCCAAACATGTTCTTAACTCCAAAGAGATCTTTTGAGGGTAGTGGTATAAATTTCCATTCTCTCCTGCCTGATTTTTGCATCCCTGAATGGGAACGCCTTAAAATGCATGCAATTCCTGCAATGCCACTTTTCTTCTGTTGTTTCAGCAGAAATCTCACCCACCCCCTCTAACCCACTGTGACTCCATAGTAAATATCCCCATAGGAGGCAGGGACACTCCAAAATAAATATCAGAGCCTTGAAATAATTCTTCCTTAGTCTTTAATCATGTTAGATAACAGCTGCCTACTCACACTACAAACAAACTCAGTTCGAACTCACAAAACTGTGAAACCCCTGGATTACTTACTGCTTATCCATTTGGCATCAGGGTCATGAATCCTAAAGTCTTTTCTGAAGAGGTCTCCAATAGTCAGTTTGGTCTTGTAAGCCAGCCGGTCATCCTCACCTGCAAAGGGACAGAGAAAAATGACCAGCTCCTTGTTAAACAAGAACAGGACAGTTAGCACCAACCAAACAAAAAAACTGGTAACACTTTATTTTACAGGTCAGGTATCTCCTAAAGATTTTTTGAAAGTTTCCTGCAAAGAACCATGTAGTTTGGCATTAATTACAAAAAATAGAGAAAGACTGATCTTTTCCTAGTTAGTCCACTGTGTTGTGTTGACTTTGTTATTGGCTGCCAGATAAATTTTCATGAAAGAAATTGCTGTGTAAACCCCAGTTATTACTTATGGTTTATTAATTATTTGAAATGGTATTCATTTATGCTGAATTGGACAAATTTAACATTTTGCATGTGTAGATCACTTTTTCATCTCTGAAGAAATCCTCAGGTTTATGTTAGCATTTAGAAATAACTGGAAGTGTACCAGCTGATCATGCTCTTAATTGTAACTGTAATTAGTACCAATTATATGGTTGCTTCCAGGAAACGTCTTACAAATGTATTTAGCAATGAACTGGAATTTACATACCCGTAAAATAAATCATTATGAAAAACCTTTATGTATGCTAATTTGACACTAATATGCAAGAGTTTTATCCCTGACATGACCGGTTCTTGTTCTTCCTGAGTCAACGGATCCTCTTACTCAGAACTTCTTCAAAGATTTTTCAGGCTAAGTGCCACAATGTCCCCAACAGGTTTCAAGTTGCCTGCATACTAAACTAAATCTGAGACTACAGTATATCAAAATTAAATCAGGATAGACAGTGTTACAGAGTGAAACACCGCTATAAATATCATGTTTTATATAGACAGATCATTATTCAACAACCAGTGTGGATGCAGTGAAGCTGCTCTTAGAGTAATAGGCATTTGCACTGAACAGATGAATGGAAGGAGACTCTTTGAATGTTGAGTTGTCAGATTTTGGGGAAAATGGCAGCCAGCGTGCTCTGTTGAGTGGCTGGATTATTCCACTATTAGAGGCATTAGTGTTTTTATGTGACATTCTAAATCACCCACTCTTATCAGTGGGTGACACTGTAGAAAACAGGTTCCAAACAAATATATTAAGTTGTTTTATCTGTAGAAACTTCACTAATTTTTGAATTGCTGGGTAGTTGGAGCAGAAATGCATATACATTTACATAAACGAATCAAACACAAATAAAAGTATATGCCATAAAGCAGGGGGCCACCATCCAGGCTTATGCCGTCCTTACACCTAACAACCCTTCAAGCGATTTCATGTTGCAGACAAATTTCAAACTTCAGATTAAAATCATAAGTCTTGCTATGAGTCATGTCACGCTCCTGACATCTCAGTCACTTGATGTAAGGTGGTGGTGAAAGGAATACGAGTGATATAACAAAGCAGAGCACTGTTTTAACTCCCGCAGGCCTTTGATTAAGACTAGTGCGGCTTCGGATCATCAGACCGGATGTGCATATATACAGCAGATGCCTCCTGCAATTCATTTCAGCTTAATTTCATCCATCAGTGCCCATCACATCATCTCTTGCTCCATAATATGACTCATTTCACCTCTGTACGTGTGGTTGGAAGATAAAAAGCAAAAGGCAGAATACAGTTTCCAGTCACTCTCAAGTTACATTTGGGTTCAACAGTAACTTCTTTCATGTTTTGAGGGTTTCAGTCTCACACAGGAGGTACATGCCCAATATTTGAGTGATATTTTCACCACTGTATTAACTAGATTTGCAAAGGAAGCAGAATTATATTAAAAATATATAAAGAAATATAAAAAAATGAACCAGAAAAAAAATGATAAACAGTGGACTGAAATCCATACTATAATAGGGTTCAAGAAAAAGAACAAGGGAATTAGTGAAAAATTTTTTTTTCACAGGAAAATTAATAAAATGTCACTATTTTCACTACAAAAAAAGAGAAACCTCTTTGCAAGATTAACAAGCCTGCGCTTGAGCAAGCTGTGACACTAAAAATGTCTATTGAAACTCAGAATAATGAAAATGCTTTTAGGTAAGTTAGAAGATCCATAATGCAGAATGACCCACTGTGCCTGTTCAGTGGCAGAGAAACTCTCGGATGGAACAATGAAAAGACCATGTTGTGCATGTTTTAGCTGACTGTAAAATACAACTGTATGTAGTTAACATCACAACTGAACATTATTAAAAAGTTATATGGCAATATAGGTTCATATTCATGACAACATCGCGCTACTTTTGAGAAATCCTGTGTCCTTTATGAAAGTATGCATGGTCAACTTGTTATATCACTGCCTGTATCACTAATGTTACTGAAAATGTGGCCTGTTTAAAAACATTTTACACAATTTATGTAAAAGCTTGTGAGCTAATATCAGTGACTTTGGTAACAGTGGGCTATTTTTTCCATAAACGGCCGGTCATTTTCTGTATGAATAGTATTTTCAGCAATCTCCATACAGAAACCGATGACCATGAATTTGCTCTAATGTCTGTCAGCTGTCAGTCCTGGATTAGCTTGTTCATCTGAGACACAATTAAAAAACATCAGGGAAGCACATGTTTTTGTTTGTTTTTTTGTAACAAAACCCCAGACCTGACTGTGTTGCCCCACAGGCTCTGAGCAGCCATAATTTCCTGAAGTCAGCACGAGTCAGACACTCGGACAGATGTCGAGACATTTCACTGAAAACCAAAATGTCAGGGGATGATCAAAGTCATTAGATACATGTGATCCCATGAGATACCACACTGTAAGGGTGGCTAAAACATGATGTTATGAAGATGTAATGGGCTACAAATGTAACATCAGTGTGTTCTTGCACCAGCTTCACAGAAACATTTCCCAGCATGCCATATCACATACAGATCTGCAAACCACTCTGTCCTGAGACATTAAGCAACAATGACTGACCAAAGTGGAGTTCAAGATCAATAACATGATGTTAATGGACACACTGGGACAAACAAACCCATGTTGTTCAGGGAGAGGTTCTCCAACTGCTTAAGCACCTCAGAGAAGAGCTGCAAATGTTTCCTCAGCAAAACTGTGACCACAACCACTAATTTTAATCTGACACATGCTTTGATCCAAGTGACACAGCTGTCAGAGAAATCATCCTTACAGTATGGAGCAGGTGGATGGGAGAAGGGGCGGTTCATTTGAGGCAGACAACAAAATGGCATTTTCTTTTCGTGTTAACACCAGTGCATTTTAGACACAGCTGGAAAAAAAAAAACTGTTCAGTGTCAGCTTTAAGATCAATGTGAGATCTCAGCAACTGACTTTAGAAAAATACCAATGATTAATATTCACACTTTGTGCTTCAATGATAACCAAATGCCTCAAGAGATCCTGAAATATTCATGACATGACAATCATGGAAAACAAGTGCTATGATCCACACAACTTTGAAAACTTCAGCTTCAGGTATAAACGATTCTATAGATTTAACAGAATATTACAGTAGTATAATATCAGTGGTTTCTATCAGTGGTTCCCAGCGCGTTTGCTTGTCTACAGTCTACTTGAAATATCTTATTAGAGGCTGGTTATACAAGATCATATTACAACAATTTGATCTGTTTTACTACATAAAAGGCATTATGATAAAATACAAACATTACACAAGGCAATATCAAAAGGCAAAAAGGCAGACTGATGTAAACAGCCAAATAAAATGATTGTGCAAGAGGTAAAACTATATGGTATTTCTCAACAAGAATTACCACTTTGAGGTTGTATGCTTCTGCCAACCAGTCACATTCACAGGAATGGGACAGACGGTCAGTTCATTCTTGAGTTCAAGCGAACCTTTGTGCCAGATTTGAAGAAATCCCCTCAAGGCGTTCCTGATGGGCCAGACAGACGAACAACCCAAGAACAACCCAGCCGTGTCTATCGCCAGCATGGAGGCATAATAGCAGATAAAAAATTTTATAGAACAGAATTTTCCCTTATTCCCTACAGCAGTAATTAGTTTGTAGCTCCTAAGGTTCATCTTGCAACACCTCATTAGTAGTGATGTGCGAATCGATCCTGTAATATCGATAATTCTAATCCAAGCCTTTCCTGTTGTAGGATCAATTACCATGTTTACAAATCAATATCTAAAATAAGTAGGCTAATTTAGAGTAAATGTATATTTTATCTTCAACAGGGGACACAGTAAATAGTAACTACACTATCCAGGACAAAAATAATACTTGGTTGATAGGAACTACTTCTCCTTCTGCCTGTCACAGACATGTGTGAACTACTGCCGTGTAAATGCATGGGTCACTCAGAATAAGGAAAACTTTTGGTCTGGAGTCTCTCGGCAACAGAGCATTGGTATCTGCAATACCAGCCTGGAATTTACTTGGTATTGGATCAGAAAGGAAATAAGTGCAGTCGCATATCATTACTCCATAATCTCCTGACCACCACGTTAGGATGACTCCACTGATCATTCCAGCACTAGCTATAATCTGAGTGTAGATACAGTCAGGAGTGTAACATCTCGTTTCGGATCTAAGATCCAACGCTGGCTGATGTTTGGACTGAAAAATAGCTGCTTTTTAACAAACACTACCATGTCACATCATGTCTGTGCACCTTTTTCCTTCTAAGACAAGACAGCTGTAGGTATAGATCATCTGCTGTGTCATGGTGATGAAACAGTATGACACCTTGCTTTGTGGTCTACAGCTAATCTCACATTCAGCCAGGGCAAGTCACTATCAGCTCCGCGTTGCCTGAAAAAAATATATCTGACACCATCATGAACAAAGAAAGCTTTTTGAACAAATCCAGAAAACACAATGACTTGCATCATTCTCCACACGGTGTGTGTGGCATAACAGATGGACAGATACCGACTGATCCTAAGCTCCTCCCTGATTTCATCATGGGAACAAACATTTGAAGGCATCTGCTTGCTGCGTCACTGGAGTTTTGATTGTCATTATCACAGCTAGAAGAACGTAGCTGCAAGGAAACAGTACTGCACAGAAGTTACAGGCTCCAATCAGAGGTTAAGTACTGG